TGATCGCATGCTAATAATAATATGTGGTAAATAAAAATAAAATTTACAGTATGGGATGTGTTATTCAATTATTCTTTCCAATTCTACAATCAACAATGTAATTTATATGTATGGGTATTCTTTCTAATTCATGAGTAATGATGCTGATCGTCGTTAAATAAAATTAACTAACTAACTAACTAATTGCAGTTGATACCGGGTGTTCCAAAGCACCCGTCCACTCTCTTTTTCTCGGGAATGGTCGAGAATTGAACGGTCGGGACGAAAACCTCTGAAAGTCGACCCCAAAGAATTCGATGAAAATATTTTCAGCCCCCCTCCCCCACCCTCGAAACCCTACCCCCTGTTTTTCTCATATTTCAATGTTTAATGTTCGCATGTTTAATGCATTTTTAAACTTTGCCAAATTGCCTTAAATAAAGGCCATAGGACATTTCGTCAACGATTTTTTGTCCGCTACCTGTTTTTTCCAATAATTTACGTCCACGCGTTTTTTCGGCACGGGAGTTTTGGTCCACGTGCCAGTTGAGACCCAAAGTTAATTGGCCCACATGTAAATACAAACGACAACCGCTAACGACATTTTTTGATGAAAATGAAAAATGTCTTGGAAGAATGAGGGTTCGCTTTTTTTTTTGTTTTGTCTATTTGGTCCAACGGAAAATAATATATAGTTGAGAGTTTTGGTAAAAATGGGGGAACGTCGGATTCCATGAGACAAAATTCACTAAAATTCTCTACACCTCTTTGGTGTAATAGGACCTAATTATCTTTCAAGATTTTCCCACCTTGTTATACCTGAACCGGATAAACCTCTATATTTGCCTCAGCTAAAGGCTCTTTGATTTTTCCAGTGTACGATAAGTATCTTGATTTATTTTGCGAGGAAACATCTGTACTTTTAAGGGATGCCTGTCATTCTTAATACGTTCAATTTCGTATAATACTGTGCAACACCTCTGTTGTGAAATAGTTGCTTCAAGCGCCGCCGCACGGCGGGCGGGCGGCCAGCGCGAAGCGCGCATTGGCGCCTACAAACCTAAGTGGATACTTCATGCATTGCGCAATGCGTGAAGTATCCACTTAGGTTTGTAGGCACCAGTGAGCCTCTCGCGCTGGCAGCACGCCGCTCCGCTCTCTCAGGCTTTAATATTTATACTAGCATAGTCAACGTCTTTTAACTCATGATTTTGAAATGTTTGCACACTCTGCATTGATTATTCTCACTTAAACTGATTGGAAATAATATGTATCAATTTATCAAAGGAGAATAATAATATAATTTGTGTTTTTAAAATATTGGTGGTTCCGTGTCAAATTTAATGGTTTCCAAAGCGCTTTAATTTTTTCTTTTACATTTTGTGCTTTTATTGTGCTGCAGCGAGGTGTACGCGCAACTAAACGCTCAAAATTTGACGTATTTGACTCTAAAAGATTGATGTACAAATGGGTTAAAAGTAAAGATTGCGTGCTTCTTGGTTTTTTCCCTCTTTTATTCATTTTTGCAGTCTCTGTCGGCACAATTGCGGCTAATTCAGACTAATGTCGCTTGGAAAAGGTTTTACAAATATTTGTCACGTTTTAAAAATATAAATTTTTTCAAAATGAAGTAATAATTTCGCAAAGAAAAAATTACAAAAATGAAAAAAAGTACCTATGCATATATAAGGTATATTGTACATCGAATATTTTAAGGATAGAAATAAAACCAAATATTCACCAATGACAATTTAAAAATATGATTCAAAAGGAGAAAGGAATAAAATTTCATTTAGAAAATGAGCAACCATAACAATACCTCCTTCTGTATCAATTTCTCATTTCAATATAATTTTACAATTTTGTCAGTATAATTTTACATACAGACTAAAATATAACGCTTGAACCAAGTCACCGTTGCTTATTTTACCTGTGGGCGTAAACTACTGGACAAATTGGTGCGCATACAAAAAATCGTTGACAAAATGTCCTGAAACCTAAAAAAAGACACATTTTCTGTTAAATCTGGAAATAATTTTTCTCCGAGTTTTTCGAGAATTGCATTCGCAATTCGCAAAAATTTGGCATTTTAATACTCATATATAACGCTTCCTCTAGGTGAATTGAAGTGAAAAATAATGGTTCTTTGTAACAAAGCCTGTCGAAGCAAACAAGATTTTTGAAAAGGCACCAAACGATTGTAAAAAAACGCCCAGCGATGCTCATGATCTTCGTAAATTTCGTCCGTCGTATCTCGTGTGCAATCTGACCTTCGAGCAGCATGAAAAAATGCCATTACTGTCCAAGTTCCAAATGATGTAATGTATGCAAAACGTCCTTTGGTCTCGCACAAAACTCAATCTGACCGTTTCATCTTCGTCTCATCCTGGTCAGTCTTAAAATCAGCATCCTAAAATCCCACATTTTATCGTCCTAAGCTGTTCGAATGAAGCCATTTTAAATTAATTATTTAGTGGACTTGCCCATTCGCAGCAGAGATTAATTCGTCCAAATTGGTCATTTAGAGCACTAAAATCGAGTCAATCTTTGCAATGGAATTCAGAGTCAAACAAAAACATTTGGCCACGTTCCCGAGTAGAATTCTACAACAAAAATTTCGAAAAAAAAGTGGCAAATTTTTCATCATGAAATTTGCTAAATTTATATTTCATTTGACCGATTAATGCCGGTCTCGAAGAATCGGACAATCAAACAATGAAAAGCACTAAGCAATAAAAAGAAAACATTCCACTTGTTAGTTAGAGGAGCCCCTTCAATTAGGAGATTGGCAACTTACGAAACACTCTCTTGCAGCAGCAATAACTTTTATCATGGTATCGCGATCTATTGAAACTTATGCTACTTGGGTTTTCAAGGGTAATCACCTTCTAATGGGAGCTCAGAACTAATTCGTTTCGTATTTGTTCAAAATACACACGTGTAATATTAAATTATTATAAATGGCATCCTGATCATCATTCATGAGGAGTCCTAACTCCATTGTCTATCAAATACTATCAAAATTCGATTCGCATACGGTTTAAAATTACGGGTTTAAATTCAAAAAGTAAGTGGAAAGATGGATTTTTGCATAAGGTAATTTTGAATTGTCCTCGAATTGGAAATAATAAGATACAACAGAAGACAAACTAAACAAGCGGGAAGCTCGGACGCCAAAAGTTGTCAGTGAAATGGTAAGTACGCAGTACTCATCAGTACTGGTAATGATGAAAAATTACCACAACTTTAAGTTCTGTACTTACTTATTCATTTGAAATTAAATAATTGAAATACAATTTTCTAATATTTTTGGTCTTTAGGGGATACTTTTTCTTTAGCTGGTTATTATCCAATAGAAAGAGTAATCAGATAAACATTAGATCTTAAGATACACGCGTGCAAGATGTGTAAAATACGTTAAATTTGGCCGTTCATTTTCATAGAAAATTGATTTTTTCTGAGCGATTTTTCCGCACTTTTTTCACTATATTTATGTAGAAGAACTGGTCACAGCGAACTTTTATGCGGGGTTGTCTTTCTTTGTAGATGTCGTTTATTTTTAGCACGTAAAAAAAATCCGAAAATGCTTTGCTGATATTAATTAAAACCAGTGTAACCTGAGATGACATCAGAAGCAAAGTGACACCTCAACAGATTCATAGAACTTGGCACTGGGTAAAATGCAACATTTTAAAATTCCTCGATAAGACTCAGGTGCAACCAAAATTAACAGGATTGCAGAGTAGGGGTCAAAAAGTTTTTAGGAGAAATTAGTTTGTCCGGATGAAATGTAACTATAAGAAGATGAGATGAGAAATACATCGATGATGTGCAAACTTTAATGTAAAGTTTGGATTGAGTTTAACATAAAAGCCCCACATTTTGGAAGTCAGGGGTCTGCGTGTCGTAAAATTTCCATTAAATTGTAATCCTCAAAATTACTTTTCGAACTTTTAATTTTTATATACGAAAGGAGCTTTGATTGTTTATTTCTGACCATTAAAGTCATATTTACCCTAGAAATAATTATTTTTAATCAAATCAATAACTAGGCTCCTCGCTTTAATACTAAAAGACTGATCAATTCAGAGAGCGGAAACAAGTTTAAAGTTTCCTCTCAGATTCCTCACTGCATGGATCAATTCAAGTAACCCACATAGGGATGCTCATAAAGTCATATCAAGTAATGATGAAGCAAAACTCTTGTTTTCCGAAAATATTAGATGCCTCACTGTCAAATTCGATACATATTTGTCACAAGAGTGAAAAATGATATGCTAAGAAAATTGCCCCACCCCCTTAGTTTTTTCTCCATAGGTAAAAAACTTTCACGTGCTTTTTAAAAATTAAACAAAAAACCGGAATCAAAAATAAAAAATAAGCATATTTGGACGCATTTCTATGAATTAGATTTATGTGAAAGTGAGAAATATGGGGTGTGCTCGTTAGTTCCCTGGCCATAAGAGTGAATGAGAATAATGAAGCGCCAGTGACGTCAGCGGCAATGATCAAGCCCGGGCGCGAGGGGGAGATGGTCGTCGGGGCGCTTTAACTCATGAGCCCTGTCCACAACGCTCTCGTCCCATCCCCGCGGCTCATGAATCCCGCATTCAGTTGGCACATAGTCCTCATTGCTGAATTTAAAATCCCGGTTTTCCAATTCTTCAAAACGAATCACGCCCACCGACCACATTGTTTCTTATCCAGCTTTCTAGAGCACATCCCATATTTCTCACCTACACATAGTTCTGTTTGATACAAATATATCCAAATGAAACAAAAAACCGGAATTAAAAATAAAAAATAAGCATATTTTAGCCTTGTGAAAAAGCTAGATCTTACGGAGTGTAAGATAAATCGTAAAATCAAGGATTAATGAATGATTCGACGACCAAGCGAGATCACTCGCTCAGGGTTCTGCACCTCGTTTTGCCCATATTCAGCAAACTTCCTGTTGACAGTGTGCCCATCCAACGATATTTAACTAGCGTCTCCTCAACGCATTTGCGACCATTTAACACTTCAATCTGTCAAGGGAGCATCTGTTTTCGTGATGTCTCATACGCCTGCGCAGAAATATATAAGTACTGATGGCATCATTGGCAAAAACACAATTGTGTCCGCTCTTCCCGTATCATGTCACCAAGAATTTTTACTGTAAGTACGAAGCCATATTTTTACTTGATAATTTGTTTTAAATACTGAATATATGATTTTGAAACGTTATGAGGTGAACCAGAAAAATCGTAAATAATCACGTTTAATAATCAGTAATTTACGCATTTGATGGGGGGAGGGGGAGGTGGAATTAAATGCTACCCGCTTGGAGTATGTCTTCAGAGAAGAGCGTCATTTTACAGCTGATTCTGTTATTTTATTTTCTGAAGTATACAAATCCGGCTTTCTTTTGCCCATAGCTATGTTTGAAAAAGTTAGAAAAGTGCATAGTGCCAAAAATTACAAAAAAACCCTCGGGAAAGTCACAATTATTAAAATTTTTGGAAGGAGATCTCCAAGCCTCCTACAAATTGACGGTTCTTAAACTTTGATAACTGAGTTAGGAAAATGCATAGCGACGTTGCAAGTTTCCACCCAAGTTCGATTTATTTATTTTTAAATGGCCATCAGTTTTTCTTAAAAGTTTCTAGAACTATCCTAATCTCATTCAAACATGTTTATCGAAAAATTCAGGGAGATATTTTTTATAGTATTTTTTAAAAATGAAACATAATCGCCCACATGCACACGCATGTTTTAACGTTAAAGTGGAGCATTTTTTAACATTATCAAATAATAAATACGCATTCAAAAGGCGCTGTAGCGACCGGGTTTTTTTTTGCAACTAGGTGTCATTGTGTTTAATAATTGCAACGGCTCGGAGGGAAACCGATAGTATCCATTTTTTCTAATTTTGAGGAAACTACAAAAAACTGTTCACCTATTTTACAGGCGAGAATGAATAATACCTAAAAG